GTCACTGCACCACGAGGATTTACAAATCCCACTACTCATCAGCATTTGTGGTTTCCAGTATGAGACTATTCTCAACACTCTAGTCCTGTCTTCTGGTGCGCATGTGTGTGCTTTTCTGATCATTGAAGAGACTAAACGTGGAGTTGATGAGATCGTGTTCCAAGCGCGCTCCAGTTCCTGCGCCAGCTTAGAGGGTTACACCAGAGCTGGACTAGCCTCAACTTTGTCCTTTGTTGCTCCAAAAAAGCTTCTCAGAGTCTACCTATTATGCACCAATGGCCGTCAACTCCCCACTCCCTCCCAAATCACAGGAACCCCGTCATCCTCAGGCCTGGGTGTCCTCATGAGAATAATGGACTCAATCATACCGAAGCTGCAGATGGCTGTGAAGGTTAAGTTAAAAGGGAAAGGGCAGTGAAAGCCCAGGGCCATTACCAGCTGCCACCTCCCCACCTGCCCCCCTCCCCACCCCTGCATAATTAATGCCCTCTCTCCTTCCTCTTCCAGGTCCAGGAAATGAAATGAAGACAAAGACCCCTCCTATGGGCGAGGGTAAGACACAGCCCTCCCTTTCCGTAGCTCCCCAGGGTCCTGCTGTCTAGACCAATGCTCCCAGCTCCACAAGACCAGCCTCCACTGAGAGGGCAGTGCCCTCGGCTCCAAAGGCCCAGGGTGTCCACGACCACTGCCGCCTTCGCACACTAGCGCCCTATCTGGGATCCTGCTCCCCTTCCCCACCCCTGCCCCCATCCCTGGAGAGGCCTCCTCAGGTGCCCACCCCGCCTGCTCTCCTCCTCGCTGTGTCCACAACATAGGGCATCTTCCCCTGCCCCCGCACGCCCCCGCCCCGCCTAGTGCGTGCCATGCCTGGTCGCCAGACTGCGCGGGCAGGGAGGGGCCTGTCCCCTGTTCCCGGAAGATGGAAGATCGCCCACACCTGGCGCTGTGCCCAGCGCCTGGCGGGGGCGTCATAAATATCTCCTGAATGATTCATTCATTCCTTTGGAAGAGGAAGCATGACCCCTAAGTGGTTAAGAGTATGGACTCTGAAGTCACACAGATCTGGGTTCAGGTTCTGGCTCCGACCTTTGACTCTGTGACCTTGGTCCTCTCTGAGCCTGTTTCCTCATGTAAAAAGTGGAGTGACCGCTCTCTGATTAGGCCATGGTGAGGATCAAGTGCGACGATGCTGTCAGGGACCAGCACGGGTCTGGTGTACAGTGGCAGCTCAGTCACGGTGGGAGGGTGGTCGTCCTTTTGGAGAAGGAGAAACTCCTGCGCTGCTTGTCGGTCTGTTTCTTTGGCTCCAGGGAGGTGCGCAATATCAGGTCCGTTTTACAGATAAAGAAACCGAGGCCTACAGAGGAACAGGATAACCCCTTGGGCGGAGGCTGAGGCTAGAGCCCAGTCTTGCTGACTCTGCCCCTGGCCAGCACGTCCCCAGCCCACCCTCTTCCCGGGCCCTAGGAGTGAGGGGCTGGGCTTTGCCCCAGGACGCCCCTGGACCCGAGGGCGCGCTTGGGTTTCTCGGGTTTGCACCCTGGAAGCGCCGCGCTGCTCCGGCGAGCGGAGAAAGCGCCCGGGGTTGTCACTTTAAATTAAAGAGGGAGCGGGCGGGCGGGTGAGCGCGAGGGAGCGCGCGGCGGGCTCCTGGGAGCGTGCCCGGACTGCGGCGCAGCTCCCGTCCGCCGCCCCGGCCCCGCCGAGCCCCCGGCCCGCGCCGCGCTCCTCCGAGGCGGGCGCAGGGCGACACTGCAGGGGTGGCGTTGCCGCCAGCGGCCGGGGCGGCGCAGGTGCGTGCGCGCTGCGGGAGGCCGGCTGGGAGCCGCGAGCCGGAGTCGGAGCGGCGGCCCCTCCGCGGACCCGGGGTGAGTACGCACCCGGCCGACCCCCGCGCGCGGCCGGGACACGCACTCTGCGCGCAGACGCACGCAGTTCCCCTGCCTGAGCCCCCGACCCCCGACTCCGCGCGACTGCAGCCCCGCGCCGGGCTTGCACACGGGCGATCGCTGGGCGCCCTACCCGGCCCAGCCGCTTCGCGCACTGCGCATCGCATCGCGCCCCGCACGCCCGCCCCGCTGTGCACACACGCGCTCACCCCGCCATTTACACGCCCCCCCTGCGCCCGCGCGGCACGCATGCCCCTCACTGTCACACTCAGCGCCCTGACTGTCCCCACTGCCCCGGCCCGGCTTCACAGCCTCTCCCAAATCAAGGGTCTGGACCCCACACTCGGGTCACATATCCTGGGGGTTCCCGAGGCAGGAGCGCTGGGTCTGTGGGAACTGTCCCAGTCCGGAGGTGCACATCGCACCCCACCCCCAGGAGGACCGGGCTGCACGAAGAGCCAGAGAGGACCCTCAGCCTCCGCTGTCACTGGCCTGGGTGGGGGGGTCTTCCAGGGGCAGCGTGGAAGCTTTGGCGCTGCCGCTTCTTGTGGGGAAGGAAGCTCGCCCAGTCTCCGGGCCTCAAGGCTGTAGATTTAGGCTGAAGCAGCGGAGGGAAGTGGGGACAAACATGAGGACAGGGAAGCCTGGTCTGTGGCTGAGCCCGCCATCCTGATAAGCCCTCTTCTGGGGGCTGCGGAGACACTGTGTGCCCCCCTCCCTACCTCAGTCAGTGAGGCCACCCCCTTTCCAAAGAGTCTGGGAAACTTGCACCCTGGGCGACATGTTTGGAGAACAGCAGCAATAGTGCTTCCTATTAGAAATGGGGAAACTGAGGCTCTGAGAGGACAGGAGACCCACCCAAGTTAACACAGCCAGTCTGAAGAAGGGTCTGGACAAGAACCCCAGCCCCGGCCTCGCCATTCTGAGGTCTGTAACCTTCCCCAAGCAGTTCAGCAGAGTGGGTGCTCCTAGCCTGGGCTTCAGACTGGGACTCCACCTCTTGTCAGCTCTGGTGACCCTGGGCAAGTCATTTCCTGCACCGCAGCTTTCTCACCAGTACAAGGGGCAGGGTAGCAGTCCCCTCAGAGGGCTGCAGGGAGATAACACAGGGCAAGTCTTTGGGACAGTGCCTGGCACACAGTAGGTACCCAATAAATGCCACCGCCCCAGCCAATCAGTACTGTGGTTTCTGTGGGCTGTTTGGGGGCCGCAGTAGAATGTGGTTATCTCAGAAAGGGATGGGGGCAGGAAGGAGGCACTTGAAAAGGTTTTCAAACCTAAAGATGCCAAAGAGGCTCCCAGCCTGGAAGGTTGGGCTCCCCTGTATCTGTCCCCCATCCATCCCATTACCTGTTGGCTCAAGGTGGGGGTTGGGGAGCCAGCACCTTGCTGGGCAGAGATGTGATTTGGGGACACTGAGCAAGGAGATGGGGTGGAGAGGGGAGCAGAGACACGGGCCCTTCTCTCCTGCAGAGGCACAACATTGCTGGAAAGCCATTTCTCTGATGAGCCCAGGAGGGAGGCTCCACCAGGGTTGGATTCCAGCAAGGCCAGGTGGTGGCTCTTCGCCCCCAGCGCACCCCCTGTGGCCTGCCTGGTCAGCAGTCAGACTGGTGGCCAGGAGCCCAGGCCCAGATCCATTGCACCCTGGCACCTATCCCAGTGCTGCTACTCATGGTGCTGAGTGACCTGGGGCCCCAGCTCCCCATCTGTAAAATGGGGACCCATTAATGCATTCAGTCATCAGGTCTGCATTGTGTACCACTACATAGCAGGCACAGTGCTAAGCAGCGAGCACGTATCATGTCTGCGTGCACACAGCAATGAGAGGTATTGCTAGGTAGGTATGACTGAGCCGGATTTTGAAACTAGAGCTGTTCCAATGAGCATTCTCTATGCAATTTGGGGGTTGGGTGGGGAGGGGTGCTGAAGGAGGGGGTGTGCAGCCTCAGGAGCTCAGATGAGCGCCTGGAGCAGCTCCGCCTCACCCCTGCTGTGCTGTGTGTCCAAGCTCTGGTCACAGGCTGCCCTGGCCTCCGATACACCCTGTCAGCATCCTACTCCGAGCTGAAGCCACAGAGCCCTGTGCCTGGCAGACCTCCAGGCTGCCAGCAGGAGCCCACTGAAGTCGGCTCAGGTAAGATGGAGCCAGGGGCTCTCAGAGATAGTGAGTGTAGCCATTAAGAAAGGCACTTGCTGCAGAGCCAGACATGGCTCAGTCTCAGCTGCCTGCTCACCAGCTGGGTGACCTTGGGCCAATTCACTGCCCTTCTCTGAGCCCTTTCCTCATCCATAACAGGCTAACAGCCCCATAGGATTCTGGGGAGTGGTGAGGAAGATGGCATGAGGGGTGTCACTGCTAATGGAAGAGGCCTGGATTGGGCAGCAGACATAGCTACCAGGCCCAGTACTGCTGTCCGTGTGGCTTTGGGCAAGCCACTTAACCTCTCTGAACGTCCCCTGCTCATCCAAAGTCCAGCTTCCCAGACTCATGAATGGGGAAGTGAATGGAGGGGTGGGAGGGCCGGGGCTGAACCCCAGAGCAAATGCCTGGGAAGGGCAGAGCCTGCCCAGCTCCGGCTCCTGTTGCTGCCAGGAGGGTGTGGGTTGCAGGGGATGGAGACCCGTTGTCCCCAGGTCTTCTGACTTTTAAAAGAAGCTGGGTTGGAACTTGATTTTCGAAAATGTAAAAAGAAAACAAAAGAATTGAAAATTAACTTTAGGCTGGGCACGGTGGCTCATGCCTGTAATCCTAGCACTCTGGGAAGCCGAGGCAGGAGGATTGCTTGAGGTCAGGAGTTCGAAACTAGCCTGAGCAAGAGTGAGACCCCCCCGTCTCTACTATAAATAGAAAGAAATTAATTGGTCAACTAACATGTATAGAACAAAATTAGCCGGGCTTGGTGGCGCATGCCTGTAGTCCCTGCTACTCAGGAGGCTGAGGCAGAAGGATTGCTTAAGCCCAGGAGTTTGAGGTTGCTGTGAGCTAGGCTGACGCCACGGCACTCACTCTAGCCTGGGCAACAAAGCGAGACTCTGTAAAAAAAAAAAAAAAAAAATTTAATAAAAATTTAAATATTGTAAAATATAAAAAAAATAAAAATAAAAGGAAGCTGGGAATCCTTTTTCTTAAATTGATTTTTAATGGGAAGTTTCCCAATTTTTAAATTGGAACTCACTTAATTGGCAACTCACTTAAATTTAAGACAAATAAAACCCATCTGTAGGCTGGCAGTGCTGCCCACAAGATTCCCCTGCTCAGACGAGGGGTTAGTGGGCCCGTGTGGGCCATTGCTAGGCCACTGACCACAGTAGCTAATATTTGCCAAGCCAGGCCACACTTACCTTCTCCTTCCACCAGCCTGGCACCCTTGCAGGGCGTCATGAGCCCTGATTTACAGAGGGGCAACTGGAGCTCAGAGATACTAAGAAAATTGCTGAAGGTCACTTGAGCTAGTGAGGGGGCAGCTCTGGGATTGAGAGCTGGGTGGGTGCAGGTGACTACAAATCCTGTGCTTAGGCTGATCCCTCCAGAAGCCTCAGTGTCCCCCTAAGTTCTCTCCTCCCTCCACTTGGGCAGGTGTGCTCTGGCTTCTGACCCTTCATAGGGCACCACGGCTGGGACTTCTGTCTGGGGTGTGCCCAGCATTCGTTCACACTGTCATGGAAATCACAGTTCCCTGGGAAGGGGTGTTGTGTTAAAGGGAGGGGGAAGAGCAGGCAGTTAAGGAGTCTGGGGTCTGAGTTGCCCCGGCCTTGAAGGGGACAAGGTCCCCCCCTCCCAACAGCCAGAGATCCGATGCAGCTCGCGGTTGTCCTACACTGTATATGTTGTGTCTCGGGGGTACCTCACCACGTGTACCTTGCTAGCATGCTGCTGGCATTGGCTGTCCCTGCTTGGCCTCATTTTTGCAAAGTCAGTTTGTGCTAGGTAAGCAAGAAAGAAAGCTGATGCCATTGTCAGATTCCCGGCAAGGCGGAAGCAGACTGGGATGTGTGTGTTCACGTTAACATGTGTGTTTCAGTGTGTCCAGTTCCCCTTTTGCCAGGAGCTAGGGCTACCCTGGACATGTACACCGTGACCGATTTGACCTGCAGATTCCCAGGAAATGTTTTGAAACCATATGCCCACCTGCGGTAAGACACGGTGGGTAGGAGTGTGGAGCCAGACAGCCTGGGTCGAACGGTTTATTAGCTGTGTGGCCAGGGGCAAATTACACCTTGGGACTCTCATCTGCAAACCAGAGATAATAATAGCACCTACTACATGGGGCCGTTATGAGGATTAAATGAGGTCATATATAAGCAAAGTGCTTGCAACTGTGCTTGGTATATAAGTGGTTCTCACAAGGTTGCCTGTCATTACCATTATCTCTGGCCCAGGGCCCAGGAATGAGCTTCCCCTGAAGTCAGGATGGGTGAAGGCCTTCCTGGTTTAGCACCACCCTCCCATCACCATGACAACTCACATCTCATCCCGGAGTGGGGGCAGTATCCGAGAGCTGGTAGCCAGGAGCTGTCTGTACACCTTTGTCTGCCCTGCTTCTTGAAGCTTCTGCCCTAGGACTTCTGGCAGCCCCATATGTGCTAGAGAACCCTGACTGCACCAAGGCACCCCACCTTTTTGACTCCAAAGCCACAGACTGGGGAAAGCCCTGGAATTCCCAAAAATGCCAAACGTCTCAGCTTCACTCTCCAACTTGACCCCAGTCTCCCAAAGGGAACCAACGGAACACCTTGAGGGGTTGGGAACAGGTGGGCCACAGCCCAAGAGCCTTTATACTGCACCTGAATGGTGCTTACATTTTCTGTGAATCGGTAGCAACATTTAAAAATCAGGAAACTGCTCATTTAAAGCCAGATACCTGGCTTTTCTTTAAAGAGCCAGAAGATCCAGGAATGCCTGGTTGCCTGGTCGACATTCCCGCTGGAACAGAAAAACAGCTGCCTTGGGCCAGGAGAGTGAGTGCTTGGTTCTCACCCCAAGCCCTCTCACCGCCCAGTGTGTCGCCAGCCCTCCTTGGGCTGCGCTGGGCTGTCCCGGCCCACTGCGCCCTCCTGTGCTGAGATCAGCGCAGCTCATCTTTTCCAGAACCCCCCTCCCCCCACCGCCCATATAGAACACATCTGTGAGCCGGATTTACTTCTTAGCAACAATAAGAAAACAAGGAGCAGTTGCCTGGGTCCAGGTAATGGCTTGTATGAGCCCCCAAACCTTTCTAGAACAACTTAGTCAGGACTCAGTGGTTCATAAAGCCCGGGGGTGGAGGGTGGGGTGGGGAAGCAACCGTGCCAGGCTGCGAAAGGACTGAGAACACTGCAGAGAGGCAGCCTTTCCCACCGGTTTCAACGGGAACACGTGCAGCAGGCTCGTGAAGGAGCCACGGGCTGCTCCAGTGAGTCACCGACAGTCGCTGCTGGTTGGCCTGGTGTCGTTCGGGTAGAAAGGAGGTGGGGTTGCCAGATTTGGCAAATACAATACAGAACACCTAGTAATACTGAAGTTTCAAATAAATAACGGATAATTTTTTAGCATAAGTATATCCCAAGCAATATTTGGGATATACTTATACTAAAAAGTTACCTGAAATTCAAATGTCACTGGGCATCCTATATTTTATCTGGAAACCCTGAAATCCGGGGTTTGAAATATTGTTTGAAAACAATATTTTTTAACTTGTCATATTTTTTAACTTAACTTGTCATCTTAAAAAAACACCTAACTTTGGTCAGGCTCCCCTTGCAGCTGAGCGTGAGCACCAGATGACAGGTGCATGGACGCCAAGGAGGCCAGGACACAGGGTCAGGGTTGGTGACCCTCTACAGCCATCTCTGCTGACTCTCTCTTCTCTTCCAGTTGCACCACCACAGTGGGCATCATGGCCGTGGACGTGGCAGAATACCACCTGAGTGGTGAGTCCCCAAGGCAGACCCCTCCTTGGGTCACACCTGTGGGCTATCCCGAGGGACCCCTGCACCAGGCCTGGGGTGGGAGGTGTCCGGGGGACATGAGTAATGGCCTGTTTTACTGTAGGGACAGTCAGCAACTTGTCCAAGGTGGTACAGCCTTGGGGACATTGAGCTTGGACCCGGCTGAGGTCTCCACATCTTTCCACTCAGGAGGTTCCTTCCTGCTATAGTGATTCCGTCTGTTTGACTTGAGGGGACCCCCCCCAGGAGATCCTTGTCCTGCTGTTCCCTGAGGATGAGCTCGTCCCCAGAATCCACTCACTTGGGGCCCTTCGTGGAGCCTGTCAAGTAGCCGACGAAAGGAAACCCAGGAAGGTCGTTGTTAGATTCATGGAGCATTAAACCCGGGGATCACCCAGTCCAGGGACGCAGCACCCCCCTTTCCAGCCCACGCAGGCACAGCTGACCGGTCGCAGCACTGAGCCGGGAGATGCCCCCAGACTCCAGACACGCCCCTGCGGGCCTGCCACCAAGGGAGGGTGGTGTCAGAGCTGCCACCAAGGGAGGGTGGTGTCAGAGCTGAGACACACTCGCCGTCTTTTCTGCCTGCATTCCCTGGCCTGTTTACAGATGGGGAAAGTGAGGCTCAGCAAGGGGCAGGGACAGTGAGTGAGGCACAGGGTCAGGATGTGAACTCAGGTTGCTGACTCCCAGGCCAGCTCCCTGTCACTGCAGCTCCTGCCCTGGCACAGCCCCCAGCCAGCCCAGGGCCACGCCAAAGCAGGCAGCAGGCACCTCCTTTCCCAGCACCCAGCGGGTCCTCACGTCCACCCACAGGCCCAGGTCTTAGCCAAGACCTAGCATGGCCCTCAGCAAACAACAAAACCTCTCTGTGCCCCCACTAAGTCATCTGTAAAATGGGGACACTTTAGGGCTGTTCAGGGCTGACGTTACATGCAGTGCCCAGCGCTGTGATTGGGAACACAGCCTTCCCCAGTCTTGCCCCTGCCCGGCTAAGTCCTCGAGTCTGACGTGGAGGGGACCGGAGCCGGACTACCTGGCAGCAGAACTGCCCCCGACCCCTCAGCGTCCCCATCCGTGCGGTTGGGATAATAGTAGAACCCTCCTCTCAGGGTTCCCGTGCGTGGGCTGCTCAGGACGGCGGCAGACGGGCGGCCGAGGGTGCCTGTGAGGGAGCTGTCCTCTCTCCCTCCTCCTCCCCATTCCCCACGTCCCCCAGGGCTGGCACGACACAAAATCAATCAATAAATGAGTATCAGTTGTCATTTCATGTCACCTTCCGGGGGCTTTGCCTTTTGTGCCCCCAGCCCTGCCCCCTTTTTCTGCCAACCCGGGCACAGGCGCCTGTCCCTTGGCACCCAGGGTCCTCATGTGCAGGAGCCTGGCTCTGTCCTGCCACCTTGAGTGCCTGTGGCCTGCTCAGGCCTCAGGCCTCTGCTCCCAACCCCCCAGGCACCCCCCAACGACTGCTCAGCTGCGGTGACCCAGCCAGGGCAGCGTACACAGCACTGTCGGGTGAATCCCGGAGCAGTGTGCATGTCATTCTCACGTGTGCCACTGAGTCCTCGCTCCGCCCTGTTCCCCACGCTCCCAGGATGTCCGAGCCTGGGCAGGGCTGGGCAGGACCCTCTGCAGATCTCTGTTGTGGTTTTATTGAGCCATGAATTACATTGTAGCCACAGGACAAGTCACAGTACTTCTGTCTGCCCTCACCACCTCTCCCTCTCCCCCCCATCCACCCAGCCCTTGCTCGTGCAGTGTGATTTTTGACATCAGAATTGTGCAGTTATACCATGTTGGCACTGATATTTTTTTTTCTCTCAACATGCTGGAAATGCCTCTTCCCGTTGCCACAATGCCATCCTAATGACCCCAATTGTCATTCCCGAAGGCCAGTGGCATTCCCTCCCAAGACAGTGCCACCAACCCCCGCCAGCCCCCTCGGTGGGACCTTCAGGCTGTTTCCAGATTTCTGCTGTTATAAATACAGCCTTGATGACTCATGCCAGACACAGAACTTGATAAAACTTGTTGGGATTTTCCCCTTAGAATAAATTCCCCAGAGTGGGCCCACTGGATGGGGGATGTTGTTGTCACCATCTTCGTTTTCCAGATCAGGAAACTGAAGCCCGGAGAGGTTGGGTGACTTGCACCCACGCTCTGCCATTTCTCACCTCCATGGCCTTGAGCAGAGAGACAGATGTGCCCTCTAGCCTCCCTCAGCCTCACTTTTCCTCTTCTAGAAAGTGGAGGCAGGGCCTCACAGGGTGCTCAGGGCCAGGTGGACGTCGGGGCTGAAGGCCGGGCCATTGCTCTCCTGAGTGAGTCAATGTTGTGGATTCCCGCGGAGACAGCTGGGCTCAGGAGAGAGCAGGACAGGCTGAGGCCTCCCCGCCAGGGCGCTGCCACGCTGCAGGGTCCCTCCCCAGGGCTGGGCTTCAGGGGCCTGGGCATTCGGCTGACTCTAGGCTGTTTACACCCTGCATTCTTCCCGCCCCAGAGCCCCAGCCCCCTGTTGCCTTGGCCCAGCACACTTCTTGCTCCTCAAGTCTCAGCTTACGTGCACTTCCCCCAGCAAGCCTTCCTGGGCAGTTCCCATCACGATTCCTAGCACCCTGTTTTGCCCACTTATTTGCCACCTGAGCTACTTAAGGACAGACACTAGGCCTCCCCATGCCCACAAGGTGCTGGCACACAGTCGGTGCTCAATGGATGTGCAATGATAAATCTCCTCCCCGCCTCTCTCTACCTTGCTGTGCTGGATCAAGGCCGGGGAGGCACTTGCTTGCCCTGAAGTCCGCTGTCAGAGTTGGAAGCCCAGTGCCACCCCTTCGTGGTTCCGTGACCTTGGGCAAGTTCTTTAGCCTTTTTGTGGGTTGGTTTCCCCATTCGAATTGAGGTAGATGTATAATAGCGCCCAGAACGGTTTAGAGAGGTCGCCTGCACTGTGACCGTCTGCAGAAAGAACCTGGTCTGCTTTGGGAAATTAGGGCCTGGTTTCCACGTAGAGTGAGGCGAGACATTTAACACGTGTGGTCCTGCCACGGGCCAGGCACTGTGCTAGGTGAGGACTCGCCCACCATGGCGAGTCCGGGGAGGGGGGTTAGTTAATTCCCATGTTTGGGGACAGTGAGACTCATGAGCGGAGAAAAAGCATTTGAGCATCTGGATTTGTCTCCAAGACCTGACAGCCTGCAGCCGCCTTGCTCTTCCAGTTGAGTGGTTTGTTTGTTTGTTTGTTTGTTTGTTTGTTTGTTTGTTTGTTTTGGTAAGAGATTCACTGAGAGATAAGACTCACATACCAAACAATTCACCCAAGTAAAGTGTACAATTTTGTGATTTCTGGTATATTGTGCAGCCAGCAGCACAGTCAATTTTTAGAATATTTTCATCACCCCAAAAAGAAACCCTGTCCCCTCAGCTTCGCCAGCCTCTGCCAATCACTAATTCTACTACAGAGATTTGTATAGATTCTGTCTGTATAGATGTGCCTATTCTGGAAATTTCATATACAGGTTGAGCATCTCATATCCAAAAGTCTGAAATCCAAAACGCTCCAAGATCTGAAACTTTGAGCACTGATGTGACGCTCAAAGGAAATGCTTGTTGGAACATTCTGGATTTGGGATTTTTGGATTAGGGATGCTCAGCCAGTAAGTATAATGCAAATATTCCTAAATCAGAAAAAAATCCCAAATCCGAAACACTTCTGGTCCCGAGCAGACCCAAGACGGGGGTCTGTATCTTCTTTAGCCTGGGATCCCCGGCACCTAGCGGCGCCGAGCCTGGCACATAGTAGGCATTCGGTAAATACTCGTCCAGTGAATATGTCAGTCGGTGCTGAGCAACCTGGTCCCTGGTGGGGGTCGTAACCGCTGGCGGTAGGGGGCCTCCGGCACCCGCTAACGAGAGGCTGCCCTTGCCTTGCAGTCATCAAGAGCCCCCCTGGCTGGGAGGTGGGCGTCTACGCGGCAGGGGCCCTGGCGCTGCTGGGCATTGCAGCCGTGAGCCTGTGGAAGCTCTGGACGTCGGGGAGCTTCCCCAGCCCCTCCCCGTTCCCGAATTACGACTACAGATACCTTCAGCAGAAGTACGGAGAGACCTACGCAGAGGCCAGGCAGAAGGTGAGGCTCTGCTCCCACAGGGGCACACAGAGGCGTCCCCAACGCCCCTCCCTGTCCTCGCTCAGGACCAGCCTCCAGCACCTCCTCCTCCCGGCGGATGTCCTCTGAATGGGGACCAGACCTGCTTGTCCTCCTTCGTATCTTCGACTCCTAGCCCAGTGCTGGGGAGTCAGGAAATACTTGTTGAATGAATAAATGCTTCTAATTTTTAACACCATCCTGTGAATAGTACAGAAAAATATAAATAAGGCCAGGTGTGGTGGCTCACACCTGTAATCCTAGCACTCTGGGAGGCCAAGGCAGGAGGATCACTTGAGTTTGAGACTGGCCTAAGCAACATAGTGAGACCCTGTCTCTACAACAAAATAGAAAAATTAACCGGGCATGGTGGCCTACACCTGTAGTCCCAGGAGGCTGAGGCAGGAAAATCGATTGAGCCCAGGAATTCGAAGATGCAGTGAGCTATGATGATGCCACTGCACTCTAGCCCAGGTGACAGAGTGAGACCCTGTTTCAACAAAAAAGAAAGAAGAAAGAAAGAAAGAAAGAAAGAAAGAAAGAAAGAAAGAAAGAAAGAAAGAAAGAAAGAAAGAAAGAAAGAAAGAAAGAAAGAAAGAAAGAAAGAAAACCAAAAAATATATATATAAATAAGAAGAAAAACATTTCCCCAAAGGCCACCCCCCAGAAGCAAGCAACTGTTAACTGTTTTTTAACTATTAACATTTTGATATACTTCTTTCCAACATTTTGAATCTATCTCCCCAGTCTTTTTCCACGCATAGTTTTTACACACTAGGTGTCATAGCTACCTAGACTTTTATACCCTGCTCTTTTCATCTCATTAAAGCTGAAGCATTTTCCCATATTGTGGAATGCCCGTCCTAAACATCACTTTAACAGCTGCACGAGATTCCTTTTTGTGCATGTGCCATGATTTACTAAGTGCCATTATAAATAATGCAGTAGATGTTTTGTGTATAAAACTCGGTCTTCATTTGGGAGAGTGTGCTTGGGAAGGACGCCCGGATGTGGAGTGACTGTGTCGGGGATACCAACAGCTTGAGGGCTCTCACTGTACATTGCTAAGTGTTTCAACACTTGGCGGAGAATTTTGCAAATGTCATATAGAGTTCCAGAGAGCACAGCCAGAATCTGTTAGCAGATTAGAGTCCCTCGTGCTCACTCATTTGGGGTGTTCAGGGGGACTATCTCAAACTCTGTTGTGGAGAGTGTAGTGTAAATTGGAACAACTTTTCCAAAGAGCATTTTGACAGCACATATCAAAAGCCTTCAGAAGGACTGGGTCCTCTGAGCCAGGGTTTTTTTGTTGTTGTTGTTTTGTTTTGAGATAGAGTCTCATTCTGTTGCCCTGGGCCAGAGTGCAGTGGCGTCATCATAACTCATAGCAACCTCAAACTCCTGGGCCCAAGCGATCCTCCTGCCTCAGCCTCCCGAGTAGCTGGGACTGTAGGTGTGTACCACTCTTGCTGGCTAATCTTTCTATTTTTAGTAGAAACAGGGTCTCACTCTTGCTTAGGGTGGTCTCAAACTTCTGGGCTCAAGCGATCCTTCTGCCTCAGCCTCCTGAGTAGCTGGGACTACAGGCATGTGCACCACCACACCCGGCTAATTTTTCTATTTTTTGCAGTGACGGGGTCTCACTCCTGCTCAGGCTGGTCTTGAACTCCTGAGCTCAAGCGATCCTCCCACCTTGGCCTCCCAGAATGCTGGGATCACAGACGTGACCACTGTGCCCAGCCGTTATAAAGGCGTTTGCTTTCTCAAATCGCAAGGTTAATTTAGAGAAAAAGAAAGTTTGAGTGTTTGGGCCAGTATGACCAAATAGAAAGCCTTCTGTGCTGTGTAGACGCCCCTCAAGGCTGCTTAATCACCTGCCCAGTGGCCACATTCCAGCCTTTCTACCTGTTCCCCTTCTGCGGGACACTTAGGTCACTAACTACTTTTCTTTCCGTCACTGTAATTGACACCTTTATGTATGGAATTCTGTCCCTGCAAACAGACATTTTGAGAACAAGCTTTCTTACATTCTGGTTAAGGAGAGGAAACTAAGCGACATGAAATAGCGTTAAACAAGGCTCTTGCTAACTAAGACATGCACTGAAAGGGGAGCTTGAATGGACAGGGCTTACTGCATCCCTCTGCTGTCGCCTAACGACCCTGCCCGCGGCCCTTGTGATTGATGCCCCTGCCTCCCTCTTTCTCACCCCCAGAGAGCGCCCGCCTGGAACACCCAGCAGGCCAGCGCGCGGGGACCGCCCAGCCGCAAAGGCAGCCTCAGCATCGAAGATGCCTTTGAGAGCATCAGCGAGCTGGGGCCCTTGGAGCTGATGGGCCGGGAGTTGGACCTGGCCCCCTACGGGACCCTCCGCAAGTCCCAGTCGGCCGACTCCCTGAACTCCGTCTCCTCCGTGAGCAACAACTTTGGGCAGGACTTCACGCTGGGCCAGGTGGAAGTGAACATGGACTACGACGCCACCTCCCACACCCTGCACGTGGCCGTGCTGCAGGGCAAGGACCTCCTGGAGCGGGAGGAGGCCAGCTTCGAGTCCTGCTTCATGCGTGTCAGCCTGCTGCCCGACGAGCAGATCGTGGGCATCTCCCGGGTAGGTGGCGCCGGCGGGCAGAGGTGTGGCTGCCCGCCAGCCTCCTCCCCGGGCGGCAGGTCTTCAGGACCAGGCAGGACCCACGGAGGGTGGTAGAGAGCAGGCGTGGATGCCGATGCCGGAGCCGAAGGTTCCCGACTGCAGAGGGAACGGACCCAGGAGCTTGGGGTCCCCCTGGGGCTCTCCTACCGCAGGGATACGGTGTGCGGCAGGTGTCCTTGTCCATGTCCATCCCTGTGTCCATGTGGGGTCTTGGCAGAAAGGGATAGCATAGGACTATTTTGAGGGGTGTGGGTGGGGTGTGGGGCGACCTCGGGGAGGCTGGTACCCTGGGTCTAGTGCAGGAAGGGTGAAGGGATGAGGCCTGAGGTTATCAGGCCCAAAAGGAGGGAGGCCGTGGAGAGGGCCACCTGGACAGGGGCTGTGCCTTTGGTCAAGGCCATGGTCAGCCCCCAGCAATGCTGCCGAGAAGGACCCCAGGATGGATAAGCACTCAGACCTCTGATTTCCCTCTGCTGAACTCCCCGGGCTGACCCCGCTGGAAGCCAGTGGTCGAGGGGTGGGGGTCAGCTCCTGAGAGTAAACTGGGGGTGGGGGTCACCCCCAGGCCACCCTGCACGTCCCTCTGCCTTGCTGAGAGGGAGCCGAGCTGAGCTGAGACACACCCTGCTGCCCAGCTCTGGGCTGAAAGGGCACCGAGGCCGGGAGCTTCTGAGACGGGCGAGGTCAGCACACGGTAGCCTCTGACCGGAGCGGGCAGAGCCCGAGGACCCGCAGGACCAAGTGCCCTCTGACTCCTGGAGACCCACCTGTGTCTGGTCACTTACCATGCTGGAAATTGGCTGGCTGGCTGGCCCTCAGTGGTGGACCCAGTCCTCCCTCCCCTACCCCACCCTGCCCCAGCACTCTAAGAAAGTCTAGAACTGACCGCCAGCCTCACATATGTGGGGCAGCAAGAGTGGTGGCCCAGCTTCCGAGAGGCAGTACAGTGGGTAGTTAGGAGCAGTACCTGGCAGCCTGACTACTTGGGTTCAAATCCCAGTTCCACCACTTCCTAGCAGTGTGACCTTGGGTAGGTCACTTTAGTGCCCTGTGACTCGGTTTCCTCATCTGTCAAATGAGCATTATAATTATTGAGGAAGAGATGGGTTAATACATGTCAAGTCCTTAGGAAGTCCTCGGTTGGTTGGCTCTGAGGACCACGAGGGCCCCTCTTGAGCTCGACCCATGTTCCCTGTGGCTTGGGCTGCCCAGAGGACTCTGGGCGGTTCAGGACACATCCCTTGAGGAGGGACGTTGACAGACGGCAGCCACAAAGCCTGACGTACGCCGAGAACCTGGCTCACAGAGCCCCACACACCCATGATTCTCTCGGTAGCTCCCTAAGGCCAACAGGACAGACTGTCAGGGCATCTTACAGATGAGGAAACTGAGGCTCGGGAGTGCACTTTGCCCCAACAAATAAGAGGAGACCCAGAACTTGAAGCCAGGGTTCCCGTCCTCCGTTGCCACATGCCCATACAGCACGGCACTCAGAGAGTGGGTGGCTGGGAGCCCGAGCCACTATGGGCAGGGGACAGCCACGAAGCTAGTTTGACGGGAGGCAGGAGAGATGGAGCCGGAAGGGCACAGGAGCCCGAATGCCAAGGTGGGGAGTCGGGAGGTGGCTTTATCCCTTGGGGGCAAGGAGCCCTTGAAGAGCAGGGATTGTGTGAGGAGCGTGGCCCCCAGGGAGCACTGCAAGAAGAGCCTTCCCAGAGCCTGGGCAGTGACAACAGAGCGCGCTGCATGCCATGCAGGTGCTGGGGGATTTATTCTGGGGAAGGCAGGCTTCTCAGCTTCACGACCTGGCCGATCCCAGGCTGGGCAGCCCCCGGCTTCAGGCAAGGTGCCCGGGATGAGAGCTCCTGTCTTTAAATATCGCCAGGCAGTGACTCAGGCAGCCCCCACGAGAGGAGCACAGTGCCCGAGAGTGCACCTTCCCGGGGGACCTGCCCACAGCTTCCTGGGAGGAGGCCAGTGGCGCCCACCAGGCAGGACTGGGCTTGGAAACGGAGTCTGCCCAGCTTGCCTGGCCCCTCCCTCCCTCCATATCGCTCCTGAGGTGTTCACACAGCCCTGGGCCAGGCTCTGCAGGGGGCTGGGACATCAATGGCTTTTGACTTCACAGACAACCCTCCCACCCCCACTGCAGGCCTGGCCCAGGGCTGGAGCCAGCCCAGCTCAGCCCAGCTCAGCCAGAGCACCTCAGGGCTCCGAGGCACTGCAGGCGCTGAGGGTGGAGATTAGCTGGGATCAGGTTGTGGCAGCTTCAAATGCCAGGCCACTAGATCAGCCACCACTGAGGAGAGGACAGGGGACTTTCAAACCCTTAAGGCCGAACCCCCAAAGGGAAGATCGGCCTTGAGGATGTTGGGACCATGGAGCCAGGACTGTAGCCCAGGTCTCTGGAGCCCCTGCCCAGTGCTTTCTCGCTGCCGAGGAGGCCTCTCAGGCCCCCGGCTGCCACCTCTCCAGCTTTGACACTCCGTCCATGGCCCCTTCTCTCTGCAGATCCAGAGGAATGCCTACTCCATCTTCTTTGATGAGAAGTTCTCCATCCCCCTGGATCCCACAGCCCTGGAGGAGAAGAGCCTGCGGTTTTCTGTGTTTGGCATTGACGAGGACGAGCGGAACGTCAGCACGGGGGTGGTGGAGCTGAAGCTTTCTGTGCTCGACCTGCCACTGCAGCCCTTCAGCGGCTGGCTTTACTTGCAGGACCAGAACAAGGTAAGTCTGACCTGCTTCAGCCTGTCCGTCTACCCCTGAAGAAAGCACACGCACGCACACACACTTCTGAGAAGGGACTCCATTGTCCTTGCAATGGCCTGAACCCTAATCCTCAGGAGAGCAGAGAAGGAGACCTGAGCCTCGTTTGAGGAAACTCTGCTTACTGCAGGCAAAGATCACAAAATCATCTAGACCACTGTTTACAGCTCGTCAACTGCTCTCATGACCAAACTTTCAGAGATTCTACTTCTGCAGTTTCTGTTAGGGAAACACTCCTCTGGCCCTAAAGGGGATTATTTCAGACAGAGGCCAAGCTGAAGTTTACCTTTATAAATATAGGCGTGCTCAGGGAACATCGTTGTTTCAGCAAAGGATTTAGTGCCATTCCATTGGGATCTCTAGGTACCACTACCACACAGTGTTTCCTTGGCCTAGGATGAGGGAACAAAACTGCATTTGACAGGCAGCCTCTGGCCCTCCTTCCAGGGCACAGCTGACACCACAGCCGGTGGAAGGGGGTGGTGCACGCTCCCTGCAGTGTGGGGAGAGGGGAAAATGTCCCTTTCTCAATCCTGCCAGTCCGGCACCCTAGGGTAAGGGGCCCCAAGAACAGCCACTCCCCTATGGAGAAGGGAGCTTCTGCCTCTCCCTGGCAATCCAGGCCCTTCCCTAGACCGCTCAAGTCCTGGGGGGAGAAGCCTTCTGAGCCCACCCCCTGTCCCCCAGGCTGCCGACGCCGTGGGGGAGATCCTGCTGTCCCTCAGCTACCTCCCTACGGCCGAGCGCCTCACCGTGGTCGTGGTGAAGGCCAAGAATCTCATCTGGACCAACGACAAGACCACAGCGGGTAAGGCCCTGCGGGCTGCGTGGCTCCTCCACGTGGCTCCATGGAAGCTGTGGCCCGGCTGCCGTGCTGTGGGCCCTGGAGGCATCAGCAGGTGTGGGACACATTGCCAGGGGCCCCATGGCTTCGGCTGAGCTCAGGACCCACGCACAGTGGGAAGATTAATCCAGCTGGGGAAACATGGTAACCCCTGGAGGATAGCAGGGCCCCCATGAGGACAGGGTGACCGGGCCCAGGGTGACGGGGAGGCCTAGGGTAACGGGGACCCAAGGTGATGGGGGCCAAGGTGACAGGAGGGCCAGGGTGACTGTGGCCCAGGGTGATGGGGGGGCCAAGGTGACAGGAGGGCCAGGGTGACGGTGGCCCCGGGTGATGGGGGGGCCAGGGTGACAGGAGTCTGAGAGCAGGAGGCAGCACTCAGGGCTGGGGGCACTGGGCAAGGAACCAAGGGTGGCCCCTGCTTCCCAGAGCTGCAATTCATAACTGAGGCTCCATTCCCATTCACAAGGCAACGTCCCAGGGGACCGGGGCTGCTGGGTCGGGGTGGGTGCCAGGCAGGACCTCATGCCCTGGTCTGCAGGACCCTCTGGCCCCTCTCAAAGCAGGGACCCGTGGAGGCAGCTATACTCTGGGTAACCCAAGGCAGGGCCTGGGAGAGCCCGACCTCTTGGGAGTTGCAAGCCAAGGGCGGGGGGTGGGGGGAGACCCTGGCTCCAGGCAGGCGCAGCAAAGACACCCTCTGGGCAGTAGGTGATGGCCAAAGGGCAGCTTGTTTTTACAGAGCTGCACACAATTGAGTCATGCTCTGCTGAGCGGGCGCCAGGTGACTCACAGCTGACGTCTGCACCCGGCCCATTTATAGAATGAAAAGTGGCGGGTCCACTGAGCCCCCAGAGCACACGTGAGGGGAGTGTGTGGGCCCTAGGCAGGCTGCTGAGTCCAAAGCCCAGCCCTCTCCTGACTTGCCATGTGAGCCTCAGTCTTCTCATCTGTAAAGTGGGAGAAAGGTTGAAGGGCAGGACTGCAGGAGATGAGGGCACTAGCCGAGGTGTGGGGAGTCTGGAGCCCTGGGCCAAGCGGCACTGGGCAGGTTGTGCCAAGCCAGTGCGGCCCGGCCCTCACCCCCTACCTGCCCGCAGACCCCTTCGTCAAGGTGTACCTGCTGCAGGATGGGAGGAAGATGAGCAAGAAAAAGACGGCCGTGAAGAGGGATGACCCCAACCCGGTGTTCAATGAGGCCATGATCTTCTCGGTGCCGGCCATCGTGCTCCAGGTGAGGGGGCGGGGCAGGAAGAGGCCAGGCCACCCCGGGACTCTGCGACCACGCCATCTCTCCAGCTTCACTCCTCGGGGCTCCTGTAGATGGTCGTGGTTTGCCTGAAGCCATCACCTTTCTAGCATTTATTGAGCACCCACTGGGTACCAGCCCTGTGGTGGGTGCTGGGGCACAGGCAGCTTTCTTGGTGCACACAAGGGACAGGCAGTTAAGTCCCCAGACAGTTCTAATCCACTAAGAGCATCTCAGACTTCAGCAGTCCAGGGGTGGGGGGTCCCGCAGGAGGGGCTGGCTCGGCTGAGGTCTGGGGGAGACAGTCCCCATTGGAGGGAACTGCAGAGGCCTGGAGATGAGCCAGGGGTAGCCCAAGGCCCAGAGTTCTGGCTCTAAATCTCCCAAGGCTCGACCACGGAGGCTCTGCTGGGCCCCGCATGGCTTTCAGAAGGCGATGAGCCCCAGGGAGACCCCTTCCCAGCAGGGACATCAAAGGCCATGGGGGGGGGACTGCAGAGGATATGGCTTGGGCCCTGTTTACATGCCTCAGAGGATGGGGATCTCACTACCTCCCTTCACTATCTCCTTCCACCCTTGGGCACTCCTGACAGTGAGAAAGCCCTTGGTGTCTTGAACCAAAACCTGTGTCTGTAGCCCTGGGGCTGTAGATAGTCAACCTAGCCTTCCCTCCCTGGGGCACCCCGTCTGCATCTGACGGCCCAGAACTCTGCCTCGCTCTGGGCGTTCCTTCCCCAGGCAAACATCCCAGCATCTCTGGCTGGTCCTGGGTATCACAGCCTTGCCCTGCCACCCCTGCCCCTGCGGGACAGGCTTCCCACCTGTCCCCTGCCTCCCCCAGGTGGTCACAGTGCCACCACTCCACAGCCTCTATAAGCAAGACCATGCGGGAGGACAGGGAAGACAGAAGCCGGGCTGGGTTCTAGCTCCACTTTTACTGCTTTGGTCTCAAGCAAGTTCTTTCCCTTCCTTGGCTGTGAGTGCAACACAGTGATGATACTAGCAACGCCAGACCTCTGCGATGCTCTGTGTGCAGGCTCCACGCTACACATTTTAAGTCATGTTGTTCCCGGAACAGCCCTATGAGGTGGGAACCATTGTTATCATCACCATTTTACACATGGAGAAACTGAGGTAACAAAAGCCCAAGTCACTCCCTAAGGCCAGGCAGCACTGGAACCCTGGCCGTGTGCTGCTGCCGCTGTGTGGGAGACAGCACAGAAGGCTGTGGGGATTAGCCAAGACCCTCGCCTGCCAGTTATTTCCGGGGTGACCTTGGGAACGTCCCCTCCCCTCCCAGATCAGAGGTGAGGAACCAGGGAGCTGCACCTGGCACCCCGCTAGGGCCTGCATGTTAACAGCTTGGGACCCAGGAGCCAAGGGGGACCTCTGGCTGCTCCTGGTCCCCAACACCCATGTTGCCTCCTCCCCAGGACCTGTCTCTCCGCGTGACAGTGGCTGAGAGCACCAGCGATGGTCGTGGGGACAACGTGGGCCACGTCATCATTGGGCCATCGGCCAGTGGCATGGGAACCACGCACTGGAACCAGATGCTGGCCACGCTGCGCAGGCCCGTGTCCATGTGGCACGCTGTCCGGCGAAACTAGCAGCCAGGGTGGGCCAGGTGGGCGGCGGAGCCGCTGGGGCCTGGCACCAACTCGGCTCTGGCCGACGCCCTCTCCATAGCCCCGCTGGAGCCATGAACGCTGGGGTCCCCCCGCGGAGTCCTCATGAGCCATCTCCGTCCCTTTGTCCAGATCGGAGCGGGCGTGGCTCTATGTCCAGGGACCAGGGTTGTCTCCCACTGAGGACCAGCTGTGGCTGCGCCAGGACCCAGGGAGTGCAGCTGGGCACTGGCCAGTCGGGCTCCATCTCGAGCTCCCCCTGCCCTGCTCCCCTGGGAGGTGGGAGCCCAGCCAGGCTTGGGTACAGGCACTGGGCTAGGCACCGAGGACTGGCAGGGGTAACACAAACAAAACCCCGCCCCCAGGACATCAGTAAAACAAGACCCCTTGCCCCGGGGCTCTGCTCTGTGCTGACTGGTGGCCCAGCCACACAGGGTCGGGGAGGGCTCTGAGGGAGGACCCGGCAGGGAAGGAGCTGAGCATGCTGGGAAAGGATGTGAACTTTCCGTCACAAACGCAGTCCTCAGCCCGCTGCGGTGGGTCAGGAAGGGACCTCTCTGGGCAGGAGAGACGGAGAGACCAGGCCCAGGCGGAAGCCTGCAGGGCGCTCTGGAGCTATTCGCTGCGACCTCCATCCCCAACCTCAGAACCTGACCCAGGTCCTCGCACTCCGTCACTGGCTCCGCAGGGGCCAGGTCACTGGCTGGCGGGTCGTGGGGCGGATGGAACACTGGCGGGCAGAGGTCTTGGTGGGCCACGGGCACCCACCAAGATGTGGCGGACAAGGAGGCCCCTCCGCAGGGCCCTGGAGCTGCGGCAGTGAGGGAGGACTGTCCAGATGGCTGAGGCATGATGGGAAGCCAGGGGAGATCAGGGAGGTCGGGTGGCTCGAGGGACAGCCCGAGAAGATTGAATGCCCGTCTGGGAAGGGACGGCTCTGGAGCATGGCTCCAACCCTCAGGACACCGGGTGTCTAGGTCAAGTTCCCTGGAAGCAAAACCTGAGCTGGGGACACCTGGGCCCGGGCTTGTTGGGGGAGGAGTCTCAGAGAAACTTGCCGTGGAGAGAGGGTGGGGGCGGGGCACGGGGGGGACAGGGGTGGGCATGGGGAGAAGCCAAACTCTCTGTGGCTTCAGGAGACACTCAGCCTCCGCCTGATCGCTACAGGGGCCCTGGAGTACAAGTGGCACCCCCAGGGGCTGGCTTGTTACCCTCCCAGGGAGTTGGTCTTTGGCCGCCACCCCAGTCCCCCCTGGAGTGAGGGCGTAGACACCTTCCCAGGTGTCTCGGGCTGAGGCAGCTCCCACCCACCAAGGGCAGTCCCAGAGGAGCAGCAGCTGAGGGGTGGGAGCACCTGCCGGGTCGCAGGGATGGGGCCACCCGCAGGTGGGGGCGTGGGCTCTCAGGCTGGCTTCCCTGTTCCCTGGGCCTGGTCCAAGCTATGGAGACCCAGGTCCAACCAGTTACCCCAGTGACATAGGGAGTGTCTGGAACGGGAACCCATTGAGGTCATGGGCCTGGAGGCAGGACGGTGGCTCTCCCCACCTGACACAGCCATGGCCCAGCCCCGAGTCCAGCGCCCGGCCCTGTGCCAGCTGCAGGAGGGAGCACAGGGCCAGAAGACACGTGGCTGGGTGAGCCTCCGCCGCCGGGGAGACCCAGATGCTCGAACCCGGTGGCTGCGCAGTGCAGGCCACCTGTGCCCCCGCCCTCTCCCCTCTGCCCCCCCTCTCACTGCATGACACGTCGACTGTGTACCTGGGATGGCTGTGGTGGGGACGGAGTGTGCTCACTGGAATGATTCTAGAACCAGAATAAAGCTGGGGCAGGAAGAGGGGCTTCCAGGGAGCCCTGCTCAACCCCAAATCACCTTTGTCTCTTCTCCGGGAATCGGGGACTCAGGCTCCTGGTGATTACTACGCAGCTCCCTCCTCTGCTGCTGGCTGCCCAAGGACCAATGTCATCAGGCTCCTTGGGAAGCTCAGAAGAGGGTCCCCTGCGCCAGTGCTGACAGGGGAGGGTGGTGATCGGGAATATCGAGGAAGGCTTCCTGGTGGTGACACCCAGCCCACTGAGTCTTCAGGGCCAGAAGGAGAATATCTCTGCCGTGGATACAGCAGCAAAGCATTCCTGGTGGGGGAAGAGTGTATACGAAAGGGCAGAGCGGGCAAAACCTGGCCAATTCATACACCCTGCCCAGCAGAGTGAGGGCCGGCGGGAGCAGGGGTGGAGGAAAGGAGCAAAAGGAGAGGCCGGCAGGGAGATGGCCTCACAATTCAGTGGATGCTGGTGCCCGGCCCGCAGGCCCACGACACTTCAAAGTAGGGACTACTGTCGCCCCCGTTTTTTGGACTTGGAAACTGGAGCTCACAGAGGTTCAATAAGTAGCTCAGGGTCACACAGCCAGAAAGGTGCAGAGCTGGGGTCCAAGCTCCGGCTGTCTGGCTCCAGGGCCTTGCCCTTGGCCACTAGGCACATCACCCCTCCCCACTGCTCAAGGAGGCGGCAGAGAAATCCATCTAGTTCCAGGCTGCTGGCTTCCCCCGCCCGCCCCCTGGAAGGTCACCAGCACACGACACGAAGTGTGGACAAGGATGAGCTGGGAGAGAATTCCCAGTGCCCCGGAGGCCTGCCCACCACAGGAGCTGACTCTGAAGAGCTGCTATGTCCCTCCAGCTGGGCAGACAGAGGTGACCAATGAGACAGGCTGTTGCAAGAGCCCATAAAAAAGATAGAGAACAGGGAAGGCTTCCTGGAGGAGGTGGAGGCATGAGAGCTTGCCTTGCAGGGCAGGAGGACTGTACACATGGAAGGGGAGAGGAGCCTCAAACTGAGCAGGCCAGGTGCAGGGGCTCACGCTTATAATCCCAACATCTTGGGAAGCCAAGGCAGGAGGATCCACTGAGGCCAGGAGTTCAAGACCAGCCTGGACAACATAGTGAGACCCCCATCTCTACCAAAAAAAAATTAGCCTGGTATGGTGGTGCGTGCCTATAGTCCTATCTACTCTGGAAGCTGAGGCAGGAGGATCACTGAGCCCAGGAGTTCAACGCTACAGTGAGCTATGATTGTACCACTGCGCTCTAGTATGGGTGACAGAACGAGACCCTGTGTCCAAAAAAAAAGCGCCAAGCAAAAGCGTTGCCTGTGTCTGGATAGTGGAGCATTTCAAGCCAGGGCCTGAGAGGCCAGGTGGGGCTGGACTATGGCCACGTGGCCTCCCATGGCCACGCTGACGCAGTGGGTCCCTGCCCTGCTGGCGGTGGGAAGCCATGCACGGGTCCGAGGGAGGGATGGGGTCACTCTAAGGAGCTTTGAAGGTGACACAGAGGCACGCCAGCAAGCGTGGCTCCTGACCAGTGAGGGCAGGTAGGGCAGGCGGGAGGCCTCTGAGCAGCCTTTAGGTTTCAGGTTCACTCAGCAGGACGCAAAGCCCGTTGCCTTCCTGGAGAGGGGCCGGGACAACCAGGGGGGCTGGGAGAAGCTGTCTTCTTCCCTCCCAACCTCTCTCCCTCCTTTCTCTGACACCCTCTCCAGGCCCCGTCCCTTCCTGCCCGTTCATCTCCCCTCCTCCAGCCTGGGCCGTGGGCCTCCAGGACCCGGCGCCTTCTGCGTGGGAGCCCACCCAGGAGGAAGGGCGTGGAGGCCTCTGAGCTGACCGGCAGCCTTGCAGGGCCAGGCCCGAGCGGGGGAGGAGCAGGATGTGCCACCTTAGCACCCACAGGCGACAGCAGCTCCAAACCGCACTTCCTCTCTCCTGCCTGTGTCGTCTGCCCCTGCCGACACCCATCGGGACAACCGAAAACGCCAAAACAGTGCTAAGATCAGGCCACAGTGCTCCCTCTCTCCACCCACTCCCACCCCATCATTGACCCTCCTGTCACACCCGAAAGATCAGTCGTGGTGAGGCAGGGAGAGGACACGGGGCAGGAGGCCTGTGTCCCCACGGCCCTGGGCTCCGGTTAGATGACAGCAGGGCTTGAGCTGGACTGCGGAGACCAGACAGAAGAGAATTGGGAGAAAAGGCCCCCTGGGTTCTGCCTGGCATAGACTTGAGTCTGCTGCTTACTTGCTGTGTGACAAGTTCCTTCCCCTTTCAGAGCCTCAGTTTCCCCATCTGAAGAATGAGGGTGTTAGATGAGATGGCCCGTAAAGGCCCCTGCACCTCTCACTTTGGGGGATTCTGTGCGTATGGACTCTGGAGCCCAAACTTCCTGCGTTCGAATTCCAGCTTCTCCACTTACTTGCTGTGGGACCTTGGACTAATTTTCTGTCCTCTTTGGGCCTCAGTTTCCTCGTTTGTCAGAGGAGGATAAGAACTGTACATACTTCATAGGGTGGAATAAAATGACACACGCCAAGTGTCGGGCACAAGCGAGTACCCGGTAAACGTGAGGTCAAGGCTTTGGGTGGAGGAGCTCAGGCTGAGGACAAGGGCCCTTGAGACCTGGTGTTCAGGACGACAGAGACGGGGAGGTCGCAGGGAGGCACGCCGAGGAAAGGGCTTTGGGAGCTACATGCCGGGGCCACGCGCCCTGCCACGGACTCTGAGGCCCTACCCCTGCACGCATTGTCCCTTCATTCCACCAGGCACAAACACCCCATCCTCAGCCAGGAACCCCAAGCCCAGCAGGCAGCGGGGTAAGGACAGTGCAGGGAGCATAGCGGCCACACGGAGGCAGCAGAGAACAGACCCGACGTCCAGGGCTCCACTCAGGAGAGGGGTGGGGAGCCAGGAAATGGGGCCACCCCCCACTCCCCAATTCAGGTCTGGCGCTGTATTCCAGCACCCATGCAAGCACTTGTTCCTCTGTTCACTTCTTCAGTCCGTCTATTCTTGTGAGTCAGCCCATGTGCCTTCCTTCTTTCCTCCCTCCCTCCCTTTCCTTCCCTTCCCTTGTTTGTCCGGCAAGGCAGGCCAGGGGACATACCAGCCAGAGCCACAGCTGGGTGCCAGTCTGGGACAGGCACTCTCTCTGGCGTGCAGCGATGGGTCAGCCTTGGTGCCTGCCCTTGAGGTGTTCATGGCTTAGCCGGACACTGAAAGATCCTGTATCCAGGAGGGGACAACACAGCAGACCAAGGGGTGGCCTGGCCACCTCTGCTGTTCTGGGGTCTGCAGGGCAGTAGCCCACTGTGCAGCATTCCCAAAGGACTCTGGGCTTGGGATTGGTGGGACGTTGAAGGGACTGAGTCACCCGCAGGCCAGAAGTCAAGAGCAGCCACGGTAAACAGTAAAACAGTAAACAGCACTCTGGCCAGGCAGACTGTGACCTGGGCCACCGCTCCAAAAATAAGCAGTATGGTCCGGGGCCCAGCAGTGTCTGAGATTTGGGGAAATTCCTGCCGACAAGGCAGAGCTCCGTGGCCCGGTGGGATCTCCCTCTTGCAGGAGCGTGGACACAGGGTGGGGGCGAGGCTGGGCTTGGCGTCGAGATCCAGTCTTGACTCTGCGTCTTGCTGGCCCGCAGCTAGCCACTGCCGCTCTCTGAGGCTCAGTTCCCCGATCTGTAAAACGGGGGAAGCACGGCATCCGCTCTGCCCACCGCACAGTCGGAGAGCCGCATGGAGTAAGGAACGTGAGGTGGGATGCTGGGAGAAGGCCTGGCTTTGGGGTCACCCCTGGGTGTAAATCCCAGTTCAGACTCTTACTAGCTGGGGATCTTAAACAAGAACTTAACCTCTCTGGGCTCAGGTTCCTCATCTCTACGATGGAACGAATAGTTCCTACCTCCTAAAGGACAGTGCCTACACATGGTTTGCAATCCATTGATGGGGCTGTTATTATTAGGAAATGCTCAGTGAAACTGTAAAGCATGACAGACATCAAGTGTGTCATTAGAGCGATTATCCCTATAGCAACCAAGGCCAAACACCTCTGACTGACTCTCAGCTCCCTCCACCCCCAGTCCGGCCCCACCTGCCTCCCAGCCTTGCCACCCAGGCCTGATGACAGCAGCAGTGGGGATGGAGAGGCTGACAGCTGATCAGCGGGGGACAGGGCCCCTCCCCTCCACTCCTTGGGGCAGGGAGCCCTGCTTGGTAGCTTCACACCCAGCCCCATGGCAGTTTCGGGGAGGAAGGGACACCTGAAAGGTGGAGCCGTGCTGGGGAGGCTCCCTCTGTCCAGGTGAGGCTCCATTCAGTCTGCGACCACAGCCCTGGGGATGAGCCTGGGCTGGGAGCAAGGGCAGCTGGCCTCATCCTCTCCCTGCAGTGGGCAGTGACTCCTGCCTGGGCTGCCTTTTTGGGCCACAGTGAGATTCAACGGGGGTTAAAGATGCTTTTTCACCTGCCTGGCTTTGAATTCCATGGAGGATGATGTCATGACCAGCGTGGGGCGGGGGGCAGCAGGGACACAAAGACTTCGGCCCCCCGGTTCCTTTAAGCTTCAATGGAAACAATCTAAGATCTGGGGAGACCCCTGTGCCCATCTTTAAAAGATTTAAACCCTGGTCACTAAGAGGGGTGGGGAGGTCAGGCGACAATGAGTTTCCAGTTCAGTGCTGGATTTATTCTGCCATCTGAAATGCTCCACTATCCAACACCAGCTCCTGAACTCACCCTCACCCTCCTGCAGGGGTGGGGGCAGCATTCCCTGGCTCTTGCCTCCATACCTTTGCACGTGCTGTTCCCTCTTTTGGAATATCTTTTTCCCTCCCCCATCTGACACATCTCACTTCTTCCTCAAGACTCTGGCCCCTCTCTTGGAAGGGTTTCCTGACTCCCCCAACCTGGTGAGGAGCCCCCTTTGTCTCACCCCTACCCCCACTGTAGCTCCCGTCACACTGATGTCCTGTCTCCCATTCTAGGCTGGGGGTTTCTCGAGGCAGGGACGCTGACTGGAACAGTTCAGGGTCATGTGGCCCT